CCTCAGCCTCCTGAGTAGCTAGGATTATAGCCATGTACCACTGCACCCAGTTTCCTTTTCATATTTTTAAAATGTTCCTCAATGTGGGGTAAGAAAACTAAAAATTAACTCAGCTCTAGAATATAACACCTTTTTATTCACTAGATCAAGTAAGGTATGTGACAAGAAAACCCAATCATAACAAGAATAAGGTGGAAAGCAAAGCTCTGCATCTCATGCTCACCTTATAGCACCTATATTTATATAGAACCACGAGGAGGATAGTCATGACAACAATGACACTGATCATGATGGCAGCATTCAGAACTGAGTGCAGGGCTCTCTGGCCCACAGTCTCGGTGTCTTCTGTGAATGGGGTATAGATTCTACAATAAAACACAACACAAAAGTCCTAGGTAAGCATTGATCCCAAACCACATACTCCCTCCAACACCAGAATTTTGTTTTCCTTGATTCAATTAACATCTTACAAGTCACTTTGTTCCATCTCACCAATCTAGCTAAGAATTTTTAACCTAAGAAAAATAGCTATGCTTTAAAATAACTGCTTCAAAATAAAATACCTAACACACTTACGTGTGGACTTATGTGTAAGCCAGACACTGGCTCCATCTAGTGGATGCTTTACATTGAAATAATTACTTCATCAAATGTTCTTTCTCCACAGTTTATTATTAATTTGTTAAAGAACCAGATTCTGCCACATAAAGTACGTAGACTGACAAGAGGTTATCAGAGGAAGGTGACATGGCTTATAATTATTGTCTTTCATCTGCAGAGTGATTACAACTAGAGTTGTCTTGAGATAATGTCACATATTCATCTTCCCCTTCTCATTCACACAAAACATTTTTATTACAGGTGCCAATGTTCCCAGCCAAAAGACTTTATTTCTGACTTCCTTATATTTATGTGGGGCCATGAGACTCAGTAATGGCCAATGGGTTACAGGCAGATGTGTTGAGTATGGAACTTCTAAGAAAGGAGTGAATTCTGCTGAGATGTCCTATGTCCTCTTCTCCCTCACTCCTTCCTGCTATCTGAATGAAGGCTGGGGCTCCAGCCTGGACCCTGAAGTAACCTAGAAGATGGAAGCTGAAGAAGAAAGGAGCTTGAATCCTTGAATGTGAAGCCACCGTACCAGTCGGGACTGCCTACTTCTGCACTACTCCATGTGAGAGACAGAAAATATGTGTATTGTTTAAACCAGTTGTTTTGATTTTCTATAACAGGGTCAGCAAACTTTCTGTAAAGGATCAGACAGTAAATATGTTAAGCTTTGTAGGTTGTACGGTCTCTGCTGCAACCACTCAACCGTGCCATTGTAGCATGAAAGCAGCCATGGACAATGTATAAACAAATGGGCAAGGTCATGTTCCAATGAAAATTTATTCACAAAAACAGGTGGCAGGCAGATCTGGCCTGTGGGCTGTAGCTTGCCAACCTTTATTTTATAATATGTTGCCAAACCTAACCCTAACTTATACAGATAATGTTAATATTACCTATTCTCTTTGGTTATTATCTCTAACCCTTGCCCATCACTCACTGTCTTAGCCCTTCTCTCAAAAGACTAAAAGCTTGGCTTTCAGACACTCTACAATTTTAAATTCTAAAACTTACTTAAAATTCTTCTTGGGGCCCCATGAGAGTATTAGGGACAGAACTAGATGACATCTGAATGGAAGCACTTTTCTTAGAGGCCAAGGGCTGACACTAGGAGCACCAGGGAATCCACACAGCTCCTGAAGAGTGTAGAGACTTCCAGCTTTGCATGAGTTATTCATTCTTTCAGTTAAAAAATATTTTTGCCAAACATTTATAATATACTTAGCCCTGGAGATGAAGTACCCTCATAGGCCTTACAATAAAAGAAGGAAATTAAGTATTTAAATAATGTAAATAAATATATATTTGCAAATTGTGACAAGTGAGAAAGAACAAGTTGCTAGGAGAAAGAGTAACACGAAGGACCTAATTCTGTTAGGAGAATCAGGGAAGTTATCTTCGAGGATTTAACATCTAGGCCAAGATGAGCAGGATGACAGGAGTTTAATCTATCAAAGTTACAAAAGGAAAGAACATTCCAAGGAGAACAATAACAGGACCAGGGGCTCCTGAGGTGGGAAAGACTGCTATTTTTTTTTTTTGAGACGGGGTCTCGCTGTGTTGCCCAGGCTGGTCTTGAACTCCTGGGCTCAAGCGATCCTCCCACCTCAGCCTCCCGAGTAGCTGGGAGTACAGGCATGTGCCACTGCATCTGGCTAAGATTACTCTTTATGTGCTCAATTCCCCTCTATAGGAAAGGTATTTCTGTAGTGTTCATTTTCTCCACTTATAACCCCTCGCTCTCTCAACTGCTTCTGGCCATTAGAGAAGATGGACTCTCTAGCTGTCATGCCCCTTCAGCACAGAGGCCTTCAAGGTGATGATGATGCGCTGTGAGGAAAAGCCATACTGGCCTTAAGAATAACAAAATATAACACTTATACGTACAGCTGCCCATCCTTCCGGGTATAAAAGCTGACTGATTTGATGGTAGCCACAACCACCACCATGCAGAGAGTCACAGGGACAAAGAGCATGATCACATGCTTGGCGCCGTATTTCAGTGTCAGCTCCTCATCTTCTTCCTCATCTCGCTCCACCACAGGCCCAGAGTTACCCTGGGGTCGTCCATTAGATAATGGCTCAGGGTTGCCAAGTCTCCGCCTGTCGCCATAGTCCTGCTGTTCTCTATTGTCATTCTAAAAGCACAAGAAAAACTTTCTCAATATATCAGACTCTCAGCAGAATCGAGGTAACAGAAAATGTAACAATTAAACCTGGGATTAACAATAGGCCCGTCATTACTTGAGTTCTAAAAACTTGAGGGAAGAAAGAACCAATTTACAGGAAGTGTGCAGTTTAAAAGTCTAGATTATTTACCATTGTTCCCTGAAGGCACTCACGCCCTCTCTTTTATCTGGGCCTCCTTTACTTCACTCTCCCCTTCCATTCTCAACCTCATACAACAGTTGTACTCATCCTTTGAAGTCTGACTAAAATATTGACACCTGCATGAAACCTTCTTTATTTGCTATAGCTGCAGGCAGAGTAATTGCACTTTTTTCAAATTCATTTAGTACTTTCTAACTGTGGTTTCATACCAGTTACAAAGGAGCTATCTTACCTTCATTATTAATAGGACTTTAAAATCCTTGTAGTGATGTTCAAGGGATTTCTCTGTATTATTTTTTTACAACTGCATGTAAAGCTACAATTATTTCAAAAATTTATGCAATTAAAAAATCTTCAGAGAGAAACCAGGCCTTAAACAATTGTGATGGCCCATGTCTCTACCTTCCCCATTGCCCAACCAGGCCCCATGCAGAGTAAGAGAACAATAAATACTTGATGAATGAATAAATGAAATTAGAACCTTTCTTAGATTTCTACTTTCCTCAGAACTTTAATCCAGACGCTATTTTGTTACGTTTATCCTTATCTTGGGTTTATCTTTTCCTATTCTTCAAGTTCGACTTCTTTTATTGGTATCACTCACTGTTCGTATCTTACAATTCAGTTTTTGGAAAGGGTAGGATGAATAACAAGAGCAATAACAACAACGATAAAAATAACAGGTAACCAAAAAACCAGCACTCCTCCTCCTCTCAGATAAGTAAATAGGAAATGAAAGCAGATTGATAGTGACTGTTGCTGGGCGAAACGAAATTAGCTTAAATTAGGGTTCTGGTAGGAAGATCATTTGAGAATAAGCCACTCTCATACTTTTTTTTTTTTTTTTT